TGCCAAAGTTTTGCTCGTTTGAAAAAGAGAAATGTGAAAGTGAGAAGTTGTCTTCAGTGTTTAGCAACTATTTTGGTGCTTAAAATAATGGGTGTTGAAATTGAAATTTGTTGAACATAGTTTCCCAATTTAGTTTAGAAAGAGTTTTGGTACCAAAGTGTTTTTGAAATCTGCTTGTGATAGAACTATTTGCTAATTGGTATTAATGAACTAATGCTTTTTCCAATTTTTGATGGAGCTGAAAATTTTTGACAAGCCTTTTCTGGACGTTTTCGTACCTCATTAAAAAAATTACTAGCTTTTGAAAGTGAAGCACAATGAATCTATATCCTGTGTACAGATTATTGCAGCTGAAGTTTCAAGTTTGTCAGATAACCATAATTTTTCTTAATTTATTTAAAGGAGCTTTTTTTGGTCAAAAGATGGTTTTGCTATGGCATTTTTGTTTTCGTCGTCAGCGGCTTCTTACTTCAGTAGGTTGAAATTTTTTATCACCATTTTTTTCACACTTCTAAGTTTCTGGTGTTAGTAATATTGACTTTTTTACTGCTAATCGTTAAAATGGAAGCCGCACATAACAGTGAAACGTTTATCATTTAAATAGGGAATATTAGTATTGTCGTGTACCATAGCATATTGGGGATAGACGGTTGAGAATGTGCAATAATCAAGATGCTCAAAGCTCATAGGCCGAGCGGGTGTTTACATTCAGAATGAAGTTTGTCTGTCGTTTGTCGATAAAGCGCCAATCAGGTGTTTTTGTGATGCTTTAAAAACTGGTAAACTAATTGTCTGACAAAATCTGTACTCGTGTTTTCTTGTGTGGTTTTGTGAGCAAAGAGTACGCAACGACTTGTAGTCTGCCGTTCTAGCAGGACATTAGGAGGTGATTAACTGAAGGAGCTGTTGGGAATACAAGTTTAAGAAAGACGGAAGTTTTTTCGTGCAAAATTTTCATCTGATACAGTTTGCTTTTTGGACCGTGATAAGGAAATTATTGCTGATTGACTTATTATTGCAGTTTAGTACTAATTGAATTGTCTGTCATACAACTATGATCAGCTTTATGAACCAGCATTATCACGTAGGTTACTTTTTTCACTTATTGATTATATGTCTAAAATTAATTTTTTTTTTTTGGTTATTTTTTGAATTTCAAAGTAATACTTATGCTAAAAAAAAAAAAAGATGTGGAATTGAGAGCATCAAATTAGCTGTTTTCGGTTTGTAAAACCGTAATTTTTGTAGAGCGCAAAAAGTAAATCAGAAACAATTTTTGGGGTGCATGATTTTTAGGTTGAACAATTGCTTTTGAGTGTTTGAAGAATTGATCAAGCTTTGTGTGTTTCTGTATTTGGGATAGACCCTAATGTCAAGATTGGAGGCAGGTTTTAGATATGAATACTTTGACAAGATATAATTTTTTTTTTTTTTTGCTTTTTTTCTGTCAATGAAATTATGTTGAATTGGTAAAGCAGATGGAATAGGAAAAAAATAGTTAGAAAGGGCTATGTTTTTGAAATCCCCAATGTTTCTTTTACTTCTGAAAGAATAACTTGAAGCCGTTCAAGTTAACCAAATTGCTGAATGCATAAATATCAAAATTTGGCGTTAATAGCATTTAATGTGTAGGTTTAATGACTGTAGAAACGATTGATTTGATCTGAATGTTCATTTTTGGTGCACGCTAATTGTCTCTATATCTGTTAATAATAAAGGTGAAATAGGTGAGAAGAGGCTTAGTAGCTGCATTTTAAAAATTAAATTTTTGAAAATATTATTCTTCTTTTATTACTGCAAATTCTCTCTTGTTTTATTCATATTCATTGCATGTTGTTCTTCTGTTGATTTTACTGCCTTTTTGATTTATTTTTAGCAGTTATTACAGCAAAATTTGGACAATAAACTGACGTGATTTTGTGTATTTAAAAAGAATTTAAAAAAAAAAAAGAAAACGAAAAACGAAAGAACCAGTGCAGCAATAAATCACACTAAAAGAAGAAGTTTTATTTTTATAGAAAAAGCAGAAAAAAAAAAAGAAGTTTGTTTTTTACCTTTGTAAAAATGGGAAAGAATGGTTAAACGGTTTTTTCTTTAGTATTGCAGCAGCATTTCTCTTGGCTTTTTTAACAAAGGTTTTTTCTTTTTTTTATCTGGGCACTGAGAAGAACAAAAAGAAAGAAAGCAGTACTACGGGGAGAAGAGAAGGAGAGAAAGTTAAAGAAAAATTACAAGGAGGAAAGAATGAATTAAGTGAAAAATGAAGTTCTGTTTAGCTGATGATTACAACTGAATTTTGGTGATCATAGGTTTTGTGAGTTTTTCTGATACATATTGTGTTGTTGTTGTTGTTGTGCATTTCAGTCGATACGTATAATGGCAAGCAAAGTAATACGGATGATAGTTGAAATTCTTTTTTACTTTTGTTTCCTACCTAGTTACGTCTGTGAACAAACGAATTTTCTGGTTTCTGTCAGTCATACGGTTAGGGAAATAAAAAGGTGGTTGTTCCGCAAAAAAACTCAAAAATATTTATACATAAAATACTTGAATGAGAATAAATTTTGGAGTCAACAAAGTTGACGTGGTACCAGACGTCAAATATAAGTGGGTATTATAAGTTTAAATATTAAAATGTAATAAAATGGAAGTGTCAAAGTGAAGCACAGGCTTAGCGCTTTGCAAAACAACCTTTTTGATCTATCAGCTATCAGCTGCTATAATTTATCGTATGTCGGTTTCGCTAACCTCTTAAAATTTGCTTGCTACAAACCATTCTTATTTACATTTGCTACATTCACCAGACTGTCTAATTTTTTTGGACGGCATCACTAGCCTGCCAAAGAATTCAGTGTAACGAAAATTTCTCATTTGCATAAGAAAAGGGAAGTTTTATCTATTCTAAAGTATCGTTAGGGGTTCATGATTTAGTTCAGGAATGGAACCTGGACTTCTGCAACTTATGACACCAGGATTAACACTTTTCTCTATAATGTATAAGAATTTTTATTGTAAACTTAGGGCTTAATTCTTCATATACTCATTTAATATATACCTCGCCATTACTACTTTCTAAATTAAAGTCAGACACAGTTGTGAACACTATTCTCTCTCACCTGGTCGTCAACATTTGCGATTATCACTAGCATATATTCTTACTAACCATGAATGCTGTTTTCGATTCCTTAAAAACTAACGAATGAATTTTTTATTGCATTACATCTGAGGAATCCAAACTTTAATTATCTGAGGCAGTCAAACTTTTGTCAAATTCTGATCGACAGTAAATTTGGACTAACGTCATTCTTTTGCTCTTTTTGCTCACCTTTTTTTTAGCGTCTGGCAAGAACGACGGGTATAGGCGTTTTTCTTGCTTTCGGATGTATCTGGGGTTTTCGTAAGCTTAGTATAATCAGGATAGGACTTTATCAGCCTACCTACGGTCTATTGCTCTCCAACAAATAAGCTTTTCTGGCTCTTTATCTCAATGTAAATTATTCCAAAATTATTTGGCACGGAAATGAAGTTTCAATTTAGAAAAGAGGAGGCTCAAATTCTTTTATGGGACAGGTTTGAACAAATCAAACGCAACATGTGATTTGTGCTCGTTGTTGTTTTACATAATCGTTGTCACTGTTAAAGGTCACAAAACTTGCATCAAAACAAACCGATGTTTGATAAAAGGTTGCAGAATTGTCACTGATATTGCTATTTATCATATTTTTCTGTTTCACTTTTAGTGTCATGAAAACAAAAAGATATACGAACATTTACAACGCAGCAGTTACACAAATGTGTCATTGGTCATATAACTTTGGCTGGCAGCCTATATTGTTAAGTTAATTGACTGTTGTGTAAAAGACGTGGAAACAAATTGGACAGTTTTGGTGTTCGCCTGCACTGCTTTAGTATTTTGGTAAAGCGGAGAAGAGGGAAACATTTGGTAAAAAGTTGCATTATTAGGAAGCTAGAAAAAATTTGAAGAGAGGAGAAGGTTGAGAAAATTTGAAAAGTAACCACTGATAAGAAATTTGGAACAAAAAAAATCTTGATTTTTTTGATAGACTTTGTCTGCTTTGAATGATTGAAAAGTTGTTTGACAATGTTGGAGTGTTAACAAACCGGTAACTTTTAAAATGGAGAAAGGGGAAGAATTTTTTTTCAAAAGTAAGTCATTTTATTGAGAAGCATTTTTTAGGCGGAAGCCGAAAAAAATTTTTCTGACAACAACAGAAAAAAAATTTGTTTGGTGACACTGAAATAAAACAACATAAATGGGGCAAATTTTTTCCTTTAATGTTTTTTTATGGTTGCATTTCAAAAATAGTGCATACGTAAAGTAGAAACACAACTTTTTTAGCAAAAAAAAAAAAAGTGAAATTTTGTTTAATTTATTTTTGTATTTTGTGTCTGTTTTTTTTTTTGAGGAAATGCTAAAAAAAGAATTGAGAGCGCACAAATTTGTAAAAACATTTTGTCTAATTAATAGACCTGTTGTTTTTTGGTTCATCAGTTTTGTTGCCATTGATTTACTCTTACAGCTGCTTTTGCTACTGTTAACTGTGTTGTTTGATCGCTTAGTCAGTTGGTTAGTCGTTTCTATGCGACTATTTGCTTAGTTTTTTGATACTGCTGAGGTTAGTGCTGCTACTGTTGAAGAGCTGATGCTGATAGTAAATGTGCTTATAGTAGTCATTGCTGTGCTTTTGGTGCTGTATGGTGATGATGATAGTGATGATAGTTTTTGTTGAGTACTGTGATAGTTCAATTATTGCAACAATAATCTTTGGAAGCAAGGTATAGGTTTGTATCAGCCGGTAACTTTAGCATTTACTTGTTGATACAAAGTAATATTAT